GCAAGTCCATAAGGGAGGAAAACGAGAAGCTAAATCTAGAAAAAAAAAAAAAAAAAAACAGAACAAAGTTTGTAAGGTTACAATTTTTTTAAAAGTTACTAGTTACTACTGAATAGTAAGTGGCTAGTTTTAAAGATACATGGATCTAAAAAAGAAAAGGGCACACTGGTTTCTGTTAGGACAGTTAAAATCTTTATTCATGCAAAGGCATGAATAGTTCCTTCCTTATCCCATTCATACAAAAGGTTGAAATAAATACTTGTAGAATTAAATTATGTTTAATTGAAATAAAAATTTCCCAGTGTGGACCAAAAATATGTAATAACTTCAGATCAGATTCTATGAGATTTGCAGTGAGTGGTAAGGCAGCCACAATATAGGACTATCATTGCATGTAGGCCATTTAGAGAGCACTGAATTTCCCCAAAGGCAAATAAGCCTGACAAAACATCAACCTTAATATTACTAGGCAATATGCTGAGGACAGAATTTACCCTTTAATTTCCTTATTTGGCCACACAGTTTTAACCTGCACTCTGGCTCAAGTTTAAAACCTGTCTCTGCCCTGAGTAGTGACAATTAAAATTGCTCATGTCAGACTCCATAGCTACAGCATCACCTCAAAACTATCATCACATGAAATTCGTTGCTTGTAAGTAAAGACTCCATTGTGTTTGTTGTCTTTATCTGGAAAAAGGTACAGATGCTTTCAAATTCTTGCAATATCTTGCAACTGCTCCAGCAGTTGCCCTAGCTCTAAAGTAGCATTTGACGTTGTGGCGTACAGTCCATATGGCATAGTTCAATACCACACTGTGAAATTCCTGTTGGTGCTCACCTTCTTCATCACCTTGAGGCTGAGTCTCCAGCGCGGGAGCTGAGGCATCATCTGAATTCAGAATGGAAAAGATTTGCAAGGAGACTACAATTATGAGAGTAAGCTAAATAAGTGTACATACGTGATTGATACTAATGATTTGCACATAGCCCCGGCCGGTAAACAAACAATAATTTAAACATTATTTATAGGTACTACACAGCATAGGTATATTACATCTACAGACTACGGATTATAAATGGATGGCTTTTGAGGTTATGGCTGATTAAATGATTGCAGGGTCTTTGATGAGGCATGAAGTGATCAGGTCGCTCCCTGGACAGTACTTCTTCATTTTTAATGCTGCACATTGATACCTATAGATTATAACTGATCAAATCAGAATTTCTAAAGTAATTAGATAAATGTATAGAAGGGGTAAGACCTGTGAAAGCAAAAGCAGTCTGGGGCAAATGAGTGGCTGCAGACATGTTGACACCTTAAAATGAAAGGAAAATTTCTTCTGGCACAGCAGCACCTATTTAACAGTCAAGCTGATTTTATAAACAAGATTCACAGATTAAAGAACCAGAATATTGTTTGTGTAATTCTTATCCTCTGGTCAGCCATCTCCATTCATCCACTACCAACCATTACTGCAAGAAAAGAGAGAGGAAAATTACAGAAATGATAAAAGGAGGTGGGTAATTTTAGGTTCAGTAAAACACTGTGGAAGTAGTGCTGAAAAAGAAAAATTCAAGATAAAAAATTATTTAAGTTAGCATTCTGTGAGAAATAGCGGTATCCAAAGGCCTATCTTTACCTTATTATGTTTTTGTTATTTAAAATTATTTCAGATATTGGTAAATATGTCTTAGTAGGCCTTGCTAGTACATATTTTCCAGTAATTGCTGTTTCCTGTAGCACGGAGCTAACTCCAATACCAAGATGTCCCGCAGTAAACAGCATCTTCCATGCAACGGCTTTATTAGCATTTATTGCAGTTTCACAACTGGATCTCAGATAAACATAGTTTCCTGGCATTTTCGTAGAAGCTAGAACCAAAGGTAACTGAGAAGCTTCCTCTTGCATGCAGCTCTACCAGGGTAACGTGAGCACCAGCTTTAAGGCTCACACTACCTGTTTCCATTTCTTCTTGCTACTGCAATTCAGAAAGCCTCCTCCTGTTCTCTTTGTTGTCACCATCACAGGTGTTTTTTGTAAATCTGTATTGTCTTTATGCAAATCATGCAGAGGATTTGGAGGGACTCTGACCTTCCCCTCTGGAGGCCACAGTCTAGTTCACAGCAAATACAGATACCAAGTAAATACCGATAGCAGGTAAAACCAAATTTGCAGCCGTGGAACACTAACCTCCATGCTTTTCACAAAACCAAAGCAGCAGCAATAGAAATTTATTTTCCCTGAAAAATGTTTTAACCAAAGCATAAGGAGACTTCTTCTAAGAATGCTCATTCTTCATGTCCACGCATTGACAGGATACTTTGCTCCAATGCCATAACAGATTCTCACTTTCTCATTAGTTTTGCTGGCATTTTTGTGGTGTCCTCTGGGTGGTGGAGTAAGACCGTTGATTAATTTCAGAGAGAGTAGTGTACTGAGAATCAAGACACACATTAAGATCATCAATCAGTATGTGATTCAGAAAACCCAGAATTTCAGAGGGTAGCTTACGGTAGGTAAATATTACCAAGAGCCCAGCCAGAAACTTGGTTTTGGGTTTAAATGACATTTTTCTGATCATCTTTTGGTACACAATTTCAGTTTGTGACACATTTGATCTTATGTCATTACCTGAAATTCAGATATAATGCTGCAACTTTAGCAATTATCAGCCCAATCAAAATTAGCCTCTTGAACTTTGTTCAAGTAGCTTTTAAAACAGTTTATCAATTTTTTAATTTTTTTTTTTAAAAACTCAACAGATGTTTAATGGTTGAGTCATAAAACTGGCCTCAGGTCCCCCCTAGCCAAAAGAAAGAAAGAGATTTGCTTTCCGTCATCAATGAACCAAACATTTGGTACAGGATATCTGTATAATCTAAAAGGTATTAACTTCACTCCAGAACTGGAGGAGCAACAACAGCTCATGAACTACCCTTAACCTGCAGGAAGACACCTGCATTAATTTTCTGTTTGCACTCTGTCAGGTACATCATTTTTTCATAAAAACCTTTTGTGTTAAGAATGAAGATACATGTGGCATTTCATTGTTCAAAACAACATTCAATAGTCACAACTGTAGAGTGGTTCATCTTCATATTAATTAGATATCTTATAGGCTAACTTCATAAGTCTTCTTGGCTGACGCATGCATACCAGTGCCTATGTATATACATTTAAACAGAAACAATTCTGTTTTCTATCAGAGTTCAGTCACCAAGGACATAGTCCTGCAGTCAGCTAAGAATCAAAAAAAAAGGAATGTGATCCCATCTCTGATACCTGTGCTTTTCAGACAGTCGGAATATTTTCCTTGGATAGAGGAGGGAACTGGGGCATCTGGGCAGATACGTTAGGAATTATCTTTTAAGCCTTATTCCTCTTCGATTTAATGTGCAAATTTGCAAACAGAGCTCCTGACCTCCAAAGTCTGCAGCTGGAAATTTTCTTTCAGTATTTGGAATACCCAGAGAAAGCAAGCTGCACAACTGCAACAGATATGGCCCACCAGGTCATTTTCTCCTGTGAGTCTGTGTGGGACATCTTGGAAGAAGAGACCGTCTCAGGCTAAGCCTATGCTGTCTCTTGAGTAGAGTCCTCAAGACCACCCTTGAAGGTCTGGAGCATGTCCTCTGCAGCAGTGAGAATGTGGTGAACCTGCCTAAGCTTGCTGGGTTATAATACAGGCAGGTACCCCCATCCAGGCACCCCTGGTTATTCCACAGGAACACGCAGAGGAAAGATGAGCAGGGAGTTTTATGGTTATTTTGGAAACTACTGCTGTGCCTTTCAAGCTGAGCTACAAAATATTTTTACTACACTGACCGTGAAGCCAAAGCATAGCTCTTCAACTCAGACAGCTGATCCTGTTCACTACTCTGTGATGGTCTCTAAATAGGTTGTGATGTCTCTGACAACATTACTTTATTTAAAGCATACAGCAGTGACTGGCTGGAAGAAGGGTGGGGAGAAGAATTTAGCAGCATCTGAGAAGAGCCAGGGACCACTTGGGAACCAGGTCAGCAGCCCTTCATGCTGCAGGCTTGTGCTAGAGAATAAAAACAGGGTGTGAGTAAAATGCAACCATGTCACTTTAGACACAAATATATGTGATGTGAAGGGAGACTTGATAAATTGTGTTCATTTAAGCTCCTTGTTCTATGATTGTTCATTCAGGGTTCAGCAGCTCAGCCGACACAGTCACAAATAAAAATAAAGGATTCCAGACAAGTTTTATATATGGGATAGTTCATTCAGTTCAAAGGTAAAATTGAAAGTCCTGACCTAAAGCAAATGGGTAACTTAAGGTTAGTGGAACTCACAATTTGTCTGGAAACACATGAAGGAACAATTTTCCAGTACTTTGTAATTATTAGCCTTTAAAGAAGTACTGATTTTCTTAACCTAACAGCACAATGGTTTATTTAAATGTTGGGTATACTACAATGCTGGAAAAGTTCCTGTAAAAAAAGTATTTCAATTATATTTACAGTGGACCAAACAGATAGTCATTAACATTGGCACAAATATGAGTAACTTCTTTAAAATTAATTTATGCCACTGTAACTGACGGCAACATTTAGTATGTTATTTTCAGCTGAATTTAAAATTCTTTTAAGTGTTTGGAGAGTGTAAGCTTTAGTTTTGTTTAAAGCATAGACATCTTTCTCATTTAAATCTACCAGCTATGTTGGAGTCACATCAGATTTTGTCCTGCCAACAAGATATACACCATGATCTATCTCTAACAACAACAATCATCTGGCATGAATGTAAGCTATCAGATGAATTAATCACAATATAGAGCAAAGTGCTGCGTCCAAGATGACTCAAGCACTGATTACTATGGAAATAAAGTGAGGACTCCAGTTCCCGAGATTTTGAGACTGCAGAATGCTGTCTTTATCAAACAGACAGAATAATCTGTCCTCCAGGGCAAGCAAACAGTATGGGAAAATATTTCAGAGTATAGCTATGGGAGAAAAGTTATTTTCCAAACAGCACACAATAGCAAAGTCTGTAGGGCTGAGACTAGAAAAATATAATGTCTATGCATATATAGACAAATACATGCACACATACATATACACTTATAAGTTTACTAAATATCTACAATGCAGACATAAAATGAATAGCATGTATGCATGTATACATATTATATATGCATATATAATACATGATGAATATATATTGGCAATTTAAACCTATGGAAAAATCACAGTAGTGTATCCCACAGCTATTTTGGTTTCCATTTAAAGGGCAACTGAGATATTTACCTGTTTTTCCTGCACCTTCTCGTTGTGGCAGTTTCTCACTCACTGAACCTGCAATTGGAAAAAGGAATTACCAGAAAAATATTATTTTCACTTTTACTATGTTTTCTAAGTAACACAGCTCAGCTTTTTGTTTATTACAGCAATACATATCAGCAAATTCTTCCCTTGCAAACCAAAGATTTCAGCTTTGCCTGACTTCTGCATTTGTATACCATCGATTTACTGTCAGATGCTACTTCTTGGCCACCGCAGGACCTGTGAAAGAGATATTAAACACTACATGGACAGAAGTGCAAGAACATGCTCACGTGCTGCAGAGTGAACGTCTCCCTTCCCCACTGACCCAGCGAGGACAGGTCCTGCAGGAAGATGCATCGCCCCGACACCACTTCCTCGCCGTTCCTTGTGCAGGGCAGCACCCTGGCTACACAAAGTCTTGCCCACACACCTCAGCTGCTCTGTGGGGCTTCTGCTTTAAATACCTCATACAAGGCCCTCCAGAAACCCTATGCTGGTGTGGAAAAGTGTGTGTGTTGGGGGAGGCAGGGAAAGCACCTTATTCTGAGTTTGACCCTGAGCTGGTTGCAGGAGATGTCCTCAGAGCTGTGGCCCTTAGGAAAGGAGACAGAAGTGGTGGGAAAGGAGTTAAGTTTGCAGGAGATGGGTTTTAACAGCTTATTCTACCAGCCTGGACTCCAACCCAACCCAGCATCCAGTCTTGAAATCGTCATCAAGAAATGGAGAATCTACTGGTTTTCTTAGTAGATTTTACAGGAGGTAGTTGTCCTTAGGGTTTAAAATAGAAATACTTCCTTATTTCTTGCTTATGTCTCATTATTACAACCATTTGTATTATTCTAACTCCTAGCCACTTCTTAATGACATATTTATCTCTGCTGCATTAAAAACACCTTTAAAAGCGGTATTTTTCTCTCTGAAGAGCCACATGGAGTGATCAAAAATTAAAAAGCATGTCTATCAATTCTTACCACATGGTCTCTTCTTACATACACCTGTTTTAATTAACACCCCCCCCCCCATATCTGACAGATGGTCAGAAATGTGTGAAATAATTTGGTTGCCTTAATTTTCTTAATTCATTTCCTTCTGGAATAACTAAATTCATTGGGTTTAAAATAAACAAACAAAAAAAACCCCAAATCTTACAGCACAATAAATCTGTTCTAAAAGGACTATTTAAATAAGAGAACCCACTAAATCACAGGCCTTGTTTACCATGCTGAACTGATGGTTAGTTCAGCATGAAGTTTAGACACAGGAGTCTGCCAGAGGGAAAGACAGCTAACATCACAAATCTGGCATGCTGATTTTAAAGCCTCCATAAAAGAATACAGGACAATGCAGCCAAGCTGGTATTACCTTCTGAAGGATTCAGCTTTTAATACAGCTTTTATACATCCATATAAAAAATATTCTAGCTTAGACTTGTTTCCTTTTTTGGTGGTAGTGTGTTTTTATTGTATCATGTTTGAATCACCAGAAACTCAATATACTTAGTGACACATCAGTATTAATTCAGACAGGAAAAATAAAGCCATTATTATTGTAGGAATTATAGCCCAGGGTGTTTGGGATAGCTTGCTCTAAATAGACTGCAATACTAATGCATGTTGTTCACTCTGAAGAGGAGGCACATTCTTGCATTTATGCTAGCTGAAGCCAGATCTGAGCTTTTTGGTGCTTGGCTTGAATTTGATAAGAGGCTTAGCCTGAACTCAAATAAGATGTTCCAGTTTTAGGAAGTACTGCATACAAAATTACAGGTTTTTCTAATTGCACTAAATACCAGTGATCCAATCTTTCTTCAAGTTTCATCCAGTTACAATTAACTCTGTAGTTTCTCAATTTAATTTTGATGCACAGGAGTATAATTATAATTCTCTTGCAAATACAGAGATTTTAGCTAGGCAAGAAACAGAAATAGCAACTTATAACTTATCTAAAAGTTAGGCAATACAATCAGCATCCAAGTTTTCAGTGCACTGTAAACAACCAAATCGCCACATAAATATATTTATGGAAGGAGAGAGGACAAGGAGGGATATCAGATTCAGCAGCATTATTTTAACAAGAAGAATTTAGTACCATTCTAGCTTGTATCTTTCCTTAGCCATCTATACATTTATGATTCTGATGAATTACCAAAAAAAAAAAATTCAGAAATATTTATGCCTTAGTTTATTGCAAAACCCACAATTTTGCCTAGTTTCAGTCTCACAATTTCTGAGGCACAATAAATCTTCCAGGGAATTCGATGTGAGTGTGGTTTGTGATTTTAGCATATCCATTTTCTATAGTTCTGATCATATGTGACCGGGCTTTAAAAGAGAAGGTGAAAGTCTGCTATTATCCAGTTCAGGTAATGATGTCTGATCTCCTGCTGAGAAACAGGACATGCTGTTCTGTATTTCACATATGTGTGTGTCTGACTCTGTATTTATAGGGAAAGTACTACGTATTGGGACAGAAGAACTGGATAATTCAAGGATGGATATTTTTCCCAGCTAACAAAAGCAATATAATGTAAACTAAAAAAGATCATTGTCTTCCCAAATATATTCGTTTTCATCATATTATCTGATGATAATATTATACAGAGAGGAAGAGCTCTGAATTTTTGAAAGTACTTGTGTTTTGGCTTTAAAAGATGATCATGGCATCTTAATTGTAAGGTAGCAAAACTGCTTCACAGAATAATAAAACGTGTCCATACCTCTGCAATCTCACTGGCAGAAGCCCAGAAGAGTTAATATGGCATAAAACCCCTACAATAGGTGAACACTGTATTTTCCAATGATAATTTAACACCTGCTTCTCAGTTTCTGCCCCATTTCCCAGGACTCCATGCCTGTGGAATTTCTGCAGTGCTGGTAAGAGAGATGGGGAGTTGTAAAAATGTCTTTCTTACGTCTGGTGTTCTTTAGTGTAAGTATTGGGGGACATTCATCATTTTTAAGAAGCTTTCTTTTATAGTGCTGTCATGGGAATGTGTTTGATTTACTTTCCTCACCACTGCTCCTGCAACAGTGGAGATTACTTCCATGGAGCGGAATGGCATTCTGAGATTTATCATGTGTGTTTTAGCAGTACCAAGTGTTGGTGTGGGAATAACTGGAAAGGATGGAAGAAGAGCCTCTTTCAGGTAAAGATGTAGTAATTGATGTGAAGGTTTTACATAAGTCAGTTGAAGAGTCCTGCATTTTTTTAATGCTGCTTATAACCTTCATCCTTCCACACCTTGTGTCTCTGGCAAATAAGACAGCTTCAATAAGATCAACCAGAACAACACAATGAGCATAAAATTGGTCATGCAGCTATTGTAGATACATAAAAAATATACATGTGACACTTTTCCATCCCAGGACTTGAGATAACTTTAGGAAGCATCACGTTATGCAGCTAACCAATATTAACAGTTAGATAAACTTAGAGGTTGATTGTTTGACCTATCTAATATTGTGATAATGTAAAGTAAATGTGAAGCACAGATAGGGAATGCAATTGAGAAACCAAACTCCTAACTGCCCATCCTAAATTCTGTTCCATATTTCCCCTATTAAAATCCAAGTTCTTCCAGGCTGCCATGCACTTCTTTCCTATTTCTGGATATTCACTAAAGTCAAAGGTGGTTCTACTGGGAGAAAATGAAAGGCAAGACATTATCCCATAATTTAGGAACAGCACAGTTGATTAGACACGTATTCAGACCTTAACTGAAGTTACTGAAGAACTAATCTAGAATTTAAAAGAAACACTGAACATTTTCATTAAAAAGAGAAATTTTCACACATTCCATGGTATCACATTTCCTATGAGAAAATCATTACAAAAGCATGTTCATAATTGACTCTGCCTGCCATCCTGATTGTCTGTGACACATTCTGCTCTAAAGGGAAGAGGTGGTAAAAGTGATCCTGGGATAAAAATGTCTGGCACATGCAAACTGAGAAATTTGCATAAATGTCTTTGAAATAGCTATAGCATCATGCCTGCAGAATACACAGAAGCAAGTGAAAATACATAAACATGCTGATGTCAGGATGCCACCGCTACAGGAGATCTGCCTGCAATGTCAAAAAATAGCAAGGCAATGCCTGCAACGAGGCTAGCAAGCACACAATGACAGACTAGGGACAACAGCGTTGGAAGAAATGACATCCCTGAAATACTAGTTAAGACAGGGGTACATCTACTTAACTTCAGTATACCCACTAATATTTTGATCATAATTCCTGTGCATAGTGGTACTAAAGAAAAAGTATAAAAGAGAATCATTGGTGATCTGGAAAACATCAACAGTCCTGGGAGAAAAAAACCTCTGTTATCCTAAACAGATGGCAATTTTGAAGACATACTGGGAAATGGGAGAGGGGTGCAGTTGTGCTTCAGGCTTTCATTCTGCAATATAAGAACAAAGTTTTGCCTTATTATACCACATAACTTTCTGAGAAAATCTGTAGCTCCGTTCTCTGCTAAATAAGGTTTCTCCAGACCTCTTAAAACTGAGCCCTTAACCACTACTACTGCAAAATCCCCTAGCACTTCAAATCTATTTCCAAACTCTGCTGTCGCTGGACTTCTTTCCTGAGGGACAAAGGAGAAGTGGTAAGCCGTAAAACATGAGAGCACTGATATAAGCAGGGGAGGAAATATGCAGAGACAATCCCAAAGGGTGTCATGACAATTGGAAAATTACCCACGATCTTCCATGGAGCAAAATCAGACTCTGCATAATCACCTGGGCCCTGGAGCAGTCTAATTATCTCTGAGCTACTAATTTAATATCAAATGCTACTCTTGCCTTCTCCTTAACATTTCTGTAAAACTAACTTCCCTTCCCACTTCTCAAAAAATGATCTGAAGCACTCTGGCAGTTTATCTGCTAGGCACATGAATATACCTTTGAGAGGAACTAGTGTTTTGTTCCTGTGGAGACGGAATAATTCTCATATTAATCTATTAATTAACATGGAACTACACTGCAGCTTGTTCTTGATAAAACTGGATACAAATAGAAAAAGTGAAAGTACAGTAACTCAGCAACATTTTGAGCCAAACATAATGGCATATGTTGTGACACATCTGTCAAACAATTACTTGCTGAACTTTCAGCACCAACATAACCCCTTTTTCACTGATATCAGTGAAAGAGAGGAAGCTACAAATTGATATTGCAGAGAGAGCAATGAAGGCATCCTTTCAGGGAAGCCCTGGCTCTGGACATGCAAAAGCACCTCTGTTCAAGAATACATTGAAGCATCTCAATGCTATCCTAACCATATGTCTTCTGAAGATGTGATGCAGTTATAAACGATAATTACATTAAAATTAATGCACATTTTTCTCCATTTTAAGGCTTCTGAAAATTTTATATTATTTTTCACAATTGACTGTCATTACACAGTGACTTTTCAGACTGGATCAAAACGATTAGTCTGAAGAGTACTTTCTAGCTAAAGTTCACCTACAGGCAAGATGCATGGAAGATTCTGCAAATCAGTTAAAAAAGACAGACCGTAAAAGTGGAATTAACTTTTTATAATCTTTGTTGAAACTTTCTCAGTGTTCTCTTCCTTCCTCCATCTATTTATTGAAAACATCAATATGGTGCTTGAACGATTGAAGTAGATCAGACCAGGTGAACTCCCTCAAAGGCTCTAATCCACTTTTTTCCAGCTTCATTTACATTACAGGGTTAGCTTTTTAAAGCTATTTCTTCTGCTCTCTGACAGAGAACGGTGCTGCAGCACAAACAGAAACGCAATACATAAGTTCCAGTATTTCTGTGCGATTCTGTCAGACTCAAGGAAGGTGAATAGCAATTCTGGTAACTGTTCATACACTGGGGATTTATATTTATTATCAATGTCAATGAAATAGGGTCAGAAGCAAACTCCTAAAAAACAGTGAACCTGTTAATTGTCTTGAAAGACAAAGGGCCGTACACATGGCAATGAGTTTGATTTGGCAATTAATTTATACCGACAATGATTCCGTTACGTTCTTAATGCTGTGTTTCATTTTTATTTCTCCTCTGGATTTGGTCATTCATGGGATTTGCTGTGGGAGTTCCTTCACTGGGCTATGTTACAAATCAGGGCATTCACACTCCATATTTTTTGGGGGGATGGTTTTTTTTTCCTATACTGTAAATACTTAAAATATCAAAAAGGTAAAGCCCTCTGAATTTTTTTGCAATGAGTTTACGTGCAAGAGAGTTTCAACATAAAGAAAGGACTACCTCAGCAAGTCAGTTGCATGGTTTCATCTATTGACACATAAATATACAAATAACCACTGCAGAAAACCCCTTCAATAGATATAGTACAAATAAAGCAGATGGATCATAGAATCACAGGAAGGTTTTGGGTGGCAGTGAACTCAGAACTCATGTAAGCCTAGCTTAAAAGCTAGACCAACTTTCTCAGAGCCATGTCCAATTGAGTTTTGCAAATCCCCAAGGATGGGGAGTCCACAGCTTCTGCCAGCACCTGTTCCTGGGCTGAACCACTCTTCCAGTGAAGAATTTTTTGCCTTAAGTCTAATCAGATGCCACAGATAAACTCTACTTTTCATGAGACAATGTCATAACCTGGCCAGTCAAACAAGTCTTACCTGGGCACCGGGGAGTTTTGTGGGCCACAGCAGTACCACTGATAGGACGACCATTGGGAGTGACACACCAGCAGTATCCAGTGTAACTATGGCACTGAACCTGTCAGAAATTACATGAACCACATGCAATTTGTCAGACATATGTCTGTAGTCTCACAGCATTCATGACACATGAGTACAAAAGACTAGTCCAGCAAACCATATTGGCAAAAGCTAGAACAATAAACTATAATGGACCTAGTCTCAGCCCTACATATGATTCTTTAGCATAAAGAAGAGTTTATTTCAAGCAAAGTGCGGTAGGTCCTTCAGAATCCAATGGAAGAGAAAAATATTGAAATATGTGGTTGTTTACTCTCTATTTCAAAAGAGTGAGGTGCAGGTGTTATGAGAACCTCACAACGAAGTTCCTCAAGGGACACATAAACTGTTCCTGAAGCAAGCAATCTTGAGTTTTTTTCCACATAGAGAACATGTTGTTCCATCCACTAAAGGAGCAGGACAGAGTGCTTCTGCCAGCATTATTCATATCCCAAGCTGTCAGAAAGGAAACTCTTGGAATTCCTCTTAGAAATCAATTGCATTGTATTTCCTGAGGGCCAATATCACTTCCCTCACCATTCTTAAAATGAGAAGGCCTGTCTTTTGCACAACTCTGCAACTGAAATGCAGTACAGAGGTGGCAGAAGGTGATCTTGATTGGGATATATATCACAGCAAAAGCTTCTAACTGCGTCCCTTCTGAATTCCATGATCTACCCTAAGTAAGTTAGTCTCAGACCATATGCTTGTACAGAAATTCAGCTGAGAATAGGGAAGAATCCTGTATGATTCATGCTTTAGCACTAAGATATGGACTCTGGTCACAAGATTTCTGGTTGGGATCAGGAACAGATCAGAAATTCCAAGCATTTTACCATCTGATGAGTATTCAGGGGGCTACAAGAATGACTCAGCTGCCTCGGCCTAGAAGAACAGGGAGTGTATCACATGAACAACGGTAATGTTTGGCTCTTTTGCCGGCCAACTCTGAAAAAAAGAACAAGGACTCGGCACAAAACACGAATTTTCCTTCCATTTTTTTAACGTCAGTGTTAGCACAAATTATATTTCATTTTGAAATTACATTTCCCTTCATTACATTTGTCTCTTCTTCATCCCCTGCAAAGTCATATTCTGACTTTCCAGTCATGCAAGATACTGAATAAAAAATTTTCAACCTGACTATATGTGCCATCGTCATTGCATTCTGGGATAAACACTTGTTGAAATTCCTTGCGAGCTTGTTCCTGGGTATACTTCCTCTCAGCCACACATCTGGAAACATCTAGAGAAAAGGAGAAGACAATGCAATGGATGATGCAATATAAAGAAAAGATAGCTGATAACCTAAATTAAGAAAAAGGAAGAAGGCTCTGAGACCCATGTAAAGAGAACTGGAATTATAATCAGGGAAAATGTACAATCGCTTGCATTTTTTTAGGGAACAAAACCAATGGAAGACAATAATTTCTGGGCAATATTGTCCTAATTTATCTCATTCACCTGCATGATAGCAACATTTTATGTGGAGTATCATATGTGAATCACTAATATAATCATGTTCTTCCTCCAACCTTTGACTGCCTGTCTAACCTGTGAGTCCTTTTGGTTTGCCCAAATGTGCTCATGCTGCCAAGCAGAGTGAACAAAACTGAAATTTTGCCACCTCAAAGAAGAGAGGCCACAAAGTGAAGCACAGAGGGGAAGGACAGAACTGGGAGATGTGATGGAGAGATGCCTGGAGAGACAACCTTACTGCTCCAACTGCTGCCAAAGGGCAGAAGCCCAAAGCAGGCTTCTCCTATCAGTTTAACATGGCAATAGCTGCCACTTTGTGCCCCACAATATTCTTTCAGTGCTGGTGGCAGCACTAGCTTTTTAGGGCTTCAGGAAAGGCAAAGCAGGCAGCAGGAGTATAACTGCCTTGGATGTGCCAACCAGGCTGGTAAAAAAAAATAAAATAAAATATACTGTACAGCAGAGTGGCTTGTGAGGGAGGTGATTCAATAGTAATTTTGGACATGCTTCATTCATATTATGCTAAAATTTACTGTAACAGTTTATGATTTAGACATGGCACAAGTCAAAGCCTACCACATGGTCCTTTTTTGTCCACTGTGTGGTTTCTTGCACCATCTCCTGCATTACTTGGTACTGGTCTCCATCCAAGACAAGGCAGCAAACTATACAGCTTTAATTCAGTAGAGTTTCTATAGTTTAATATAATATATTGTCTAATACATATAACTACATTTCAATTAGGCAGCCAAAGGGTGAGAAAAGACATATACTACATACTTTTCCGCTACAAATTCTAGCATGTTGCTGATGCAGAATCAATACTTCAGGATCTGCCTGAGCTAAGCAATTTCAGGACAAATGAGAATACCAGGCAAGCTTAAGGTAGTATTAATGATTTCAAGATGCGACTGTAACATCTGAATTAGAATGATCTCAAGCATACAAGCAGAGAAATTTGCTGTTTCTGACCCCTGCTTTGTTTTAAGATGTTTGACAGTAACTGGCTAGTTCCTTTCTAGGACTAAAACTGTCCAGCGATTACCTGTGAGATAGGGGTGTTGTGGTGATTTGTGAATGTTTATGCAGCTCTTAGAAAGCACAGGTATAGGTTTTCTCGGACATGCAAGTCACACATTGAACAGAACCTAAACAGCAAGGCCATAACACTTTCATTTCCCCATTTGATACCAGCGTATCTTGACAGGGTTTTGGCATCTAAAAATCCCCAGGTGCATACAGGTGAGCCAGCTAAGTTCCCAGTCCCCCAAGCACCCCCTCTCTGTGCCAGTATTATCCACACATACATGCACAAAACCAGCATGGAAGCTTGGTGCAACTGCAGAAGTCCTTTGTACAGGATCAGTCCTTCACTGGTCATCTCCACTGAGCTTTGGACAACTCACCTGGCAACATTAACACAAAAAATTCCCTTAAAGTCCTAGGCAATCTGGTGTGGAAGTGCAGCATAATGAGGACAGAAACTGGTCCTCAGCATCTGCATCCTGAAAACAAAGTTGGGGCCCCTTAATTCTAATCTTCTTATTGATTTCGCTTCTGGTCTTGGATTTGTGTGCACTACTTCTGTGCATTAGTTTACTCTTCTCACAGGAGCATTATTAGAGTTCATGTTGGTAAAGTGCCCAAAATACAACTTGTTTCACTTTGAAAAACTATGTTTCAGTCTTAACAACCATAATCATATTATGCTGTTTCATAAGGGATATTCATAGAGATGCAATGTTACCTAAAATGGACAGAAAAGATCAACCATCCAGAAATGTGAGAAAAATAATAAGGAACTGAATTAATTTGTACTCTGGTACTTTAATAACTTGTTTCGTCAAGGGAAAATTATAGCCAATGTAGTCTGCAGCTCAGGTAAAGTCTGTTAACGTATGCACTGCCAAAGATTTTGGGGAAAAAAAAGAAACATTTTAAGCAAGCTTTAGTGTCGTAAGCCTTCTTCTGAGCATGGTTTGGTTATACAGTACTTAATAACATGTGGTTTTGATGTAGCTAGTATTCTAACTGAAAATAAATCACTCCTTTGTTGGACCTCTGTCCTCGTTTTTCTAGAATGACATGTGGTTTAAATGTCTAAAAGGAAAAGTGATATAAATTCCATCACATAAGGTCTCTGGTATAGTACCAGCAGGGTTGTAAATTATCTCCAATATTTGAATTATCATAAAAACATGCCAAGGAGAAAGAGAAGTTCTCCAAAACTGTCCACCACTTGTTCCTAAACAGCCTGATGCTCTAAAGGCCTCCTATTTGTGGATGATCTAATATGCTTTAAAATAAAAAATGGCCAAATTTAGTGGAATATAAAATTCACATTTGAAGCCTTATTTTGTATTATATAACTATGGAAACATTTTAAAGCAGTTGGGCATTATTGTGCTTCAGTATACCCAAAATAAACCCATGAGGAAAATCTCTTATCAAGTTAAGCATCTGAAACTCTGTATAGTCAAAACATTATTCATAGTTCTGGTTTTTTATTTCACCAAAATACTACCAAGGGGAGTAACTATGACACAGAGATGCAGTCCAAACTTGACAGAAGAAATGTAATAGGGTGGTCAAGATAAAAAGACATATAAAAACATTCTTCCTCAGAATACTAATGAACATTAGATTATTAATTCAGGGGAGCTAAATTATTTCCAAATAAAACACCACTGAAGCCAAAAGAAATTATAATATTTTTAAAAATAAATTTGTAAGATTACACCATCTGAGCATCTGCCTCTGTGTCCTGGTCGCAATACCTTCTAAATCTACTACACGATTTCAAGCAAATTTTCCAAAGGAGAAGAAGAATTCAAGAAATTTAAGTGCTAGACATTTATGAAAATAACAGCTGAAAAAGGACGACAAAATTAATTCTTGCCATGACTGGGAGAAAGACTGAAACATGAGCATACATCAAAATATCAGACACGAGATAGATGTAGGGAGACCCTGCAGCTCCTAACAGGCAAAAGTCAGTGATGGGTGAAATCCTAATCCATAGGGAAACAAACCTTGCACATGGCCATTGCTCATGCTCAGTGAAGCCAAATCTGGGACTCACTGTGCAAAGTCCTGTGAGTGCACCCAGACAATTCTAGTCTATGGGCCCCTCTGTGCACCTTGCACAAGTGTAACTAACTCATGAAGACGACTCGCATGAGTCTCAAATTCAGGATGAGTCTAGGATGTCTAGGCTTAAGCGTCTTGCCAGAAGGAGGTTTATAGGAATATTGACATCTAAGGGGATACCAGTAAAGTCTCTCACATACAGATTCAACTTTCCTTTTCATCTAGAACAGGAATCATTCAGATCAGGAGAGACTGATTATTTTAAAAGGAAGACCAAGAACGAAAGGTGGTGGGACTTACCCAGTAGCCCTGTGCTGATTAATCAGCCCACAGCTTTGATTTTGATCATCAAGGACCCTGACCAAAGCAGGACAAACTCTTTTGGGGTGAACGGCCTCACACTGGTGACAAACAACCTGAGAGCAGAGGGGACTCCAAGTCTGCAAGGTGTTGGAAGGATGAAAAGCACTGTGCAACACTGTGCATCACTGGAACAAGTCAGCCTTGTTTCATTGTTCTTATACTAGATTTCTAGCTCAAAAAAAAAAAAAAAAAAGCTTTTTTTTTTTTAAATTTTTTTTTTTTTAATTTTTTGCACCCTTTTT